GGGGTGGACACCTGTCGTTTGCAGGCCGAGGTGGAACTCCAGGTGTCCACCCCACTTGTGGGCTCTGTGCCTAAGCAGGCTTCGCACCGCACCCTCCTCTGGCTTCAGTGTGACCTCTCCTTTGTCTCAACCCCGTAGTTACCACTTCCGTAATGCTGATGGCTCCCTAGCACTGGGGACCCGTGGGGCTGCCTTTTTAAAGAGCTTCCCTTAAGGTGTGGCCTGAGCCCTTCCTCTGGGTGCCTGAAGCTAGCCCTTAGGGGTCCTAACATCATTGCTGCAGGGAATGACAAGGCAGGGGCTCTGTAACCAAGTAACCACTAATCAACGAAAGACTGTTCAACCTCCAGCCTCCTTCAGCCAAGGATGGTTGTGGAGGAGGTCCAAAATGTAAACTCAAAACCTTGGGATTATTTTGGTGATTTTTAAAAATAAGTTTTCAGCCCGTTTCTTAATCATGAACTTGGTAGATGACAATGCTGTGTTATAATGGAAAAGGGTTGGACAAACCTGGACTAAGCAAGTGGAGTCCGTATGAGGCAGAGTAATGAGGCCGAGACCTGTGGACTCAGAACTGGGACTATTTCCTGGAGGAGGGACCAGGTAAGACAGACAGACACACAGAATAAAGGTTTGGTGTTGAGCAACAGAAGGACTGAACAGCTCTTCAGGGAATGGTTACTGAAAACTCTGAAGGTAGAAACGTGGAGGTTCTGGGAAAGGCCCAGGGAAATGATAGACATGATTGGATGGGGCTGAGGCTCAGGGCAGTAGCCATCTTATCAAGCAGTAGGAACGTGGCTCACTACTTAACTGTAGGATGGTAAGCAGTGTGCACCAATGGGATGTCAGTATCCGTGAGTGCCCTGGGCTTGGATGTCTGTACCCATGAGTGCCCCGGGCTTGGATGCCAGCCTTGACCTGTGAGAGCAGTAATGGCATGAACAAGCTGTGCCTTTGTCTGCAGCGTGCTTGTGAGCTGCTGTTTGTCTCCGTCCTGGAAGAATGGCATGTCCCAGGACAGTCCAGAGGCTGCAGATGCCCCAACTTAAGAAATGTTGGGATGTCACTCTATTCAGACCCAACCAGTCTCCTCCACCAGCATTCTCGGCCCCACCCAGGAGCAGCTCAGAGCCTCCAAGGTGGCCTCTGGGTCTGGGACTGTCTCCTGTGTGAATCTGTCTCTGCAGGTCTTGTGAAGTTGGAAGGAATTCCAGTGATGACATGAGTATGCATCTAGACTTGTAAAGCCACATTTAGAGCCAGAGAAATCACAGGGTTGTCTCTGGGACATGGTGACTGTTGCTCTAACCTTTGTAATTAGACTTACTGTTTGCACAACCCACTGCCAAGAGGCTTCAAGGCTTTGTGAGAGAGAAGCTTCCCTCTGCAGAGGGCACAATGGTCATGGGGAGTCACTTCAACAGGGCAGGAGTCCTTCCTGAAGGAACAGAGGAGAAACCCAAACACCGTTCTAACATAGCAGCATCAGTTAGGCAGTGCAGAGAGCCCAGCCCCACTGCTGCAGCGAGATCTGAGGCTAGCAGGCTGAGTTAGCAGGACAGGAACGTTCTAATACACTCACCCTGAGCATCATCTGGGGACGCTGGGGACCTTGCCAGGGAGCACACAGGCCCCAGGACAGTCTGGCAACAGACCCAGGCAAGACTAAGCCACAGAGATGCAATAATTACGATGGTACACAGGATGCCGCCAGGGGCTATGCCAAGACCTGAAAACAACGCCTAATCCCCATACTGTCATGGGTCACATCCCCACCTGGCTGCTACAGGATAAAAAGTCTGCAGTTGTCCAAGGGAGGAGGAAGGAAGTGGGCTGACCTTCAGGAACCCCTTGCAAAGTTTCTCCCAGAGAGGTTACAGAGATGGTTCAGCAATTAAGAGTGAACACTGCTCTTAGAGGATCCTAGGTCAGTTCCCAGATCTCCCAAGCAGAAAGGCGGCTGGAAGCCACATAGCCACGGCAAAAGTGTCTCAATGTGCTAGAGAATATCCAGTGACAGCCTCATCTCATGGGCAAGAAAGAAGACACAAGGCTTTGAGTTCATCTTCCTCTTCCTCCTGGGGCAAAACCAACTGTAAAGCTACAAATGGGACACTTCCACGGTGGGTGGCTGAGAGGCTGTGCTCTGTACACATGGCAAAAGTCTTGATTCTTTATTTACCCTCCGGCGAGGCACAGTCCCTGCCTCGTGGGGCACCAATGGTCTAGAAACATGGTGTCATGTGGCAGGTGAAGGAGGCTTCCTGGCAACACTGGTGATTGGTGAAGTCTCCGGATTGGGGTGAGGGTTGTGTGACTATTCTGAAGTCTATGTAAAGGGTCACAAGCACCCATGGGACCTTTCTGGAACAAGGGCAGTGCCTTCCTGGGATCCCCTGAGGAAAACATTCCCTGAGCATCCCCATTCCAATTCCCGGAGATCCTGGCGATCTGCATGTGGTCCATCATCGTTCACTCTAGGCCAGGCACCCCGCCCTGAAGCCATCAGACCTGCCTTACGTACCCACTGCGGGGACACCCGGTGTGTTTAAAAGGCATCTCAGAACATACTCGGACTGGAAGTACTCAGTTCCTCTCCCCTGGCGGTGAAACCCACTCATTCCCCATCCCAGCCCTGTCTCAGGTAATAACATTTCTCTTTTATCAAGAGGGCGATTAGAATGGGTGAGACAGTCCGGTGGGTGAAAGCACTTGCTGCCAAAGCTAAAAACTTGGGCTTGAATGCCAGGACCCACATGGAGGAAGGAGGAATTCTGGAAAGTTGTCCTCGGACCTACACAGCCATGCCATGACACATGTGCCTTCAAACATAAAAAACCCTAAATAATTGTAGTTTAAAAACATTTTTTAGGAGGGAGCCTGATGTAGCAGCTAATCTCTGGTTCCAATCTCTCCATTTGCTAGCTGTGTGACTTCATGCGAACTCTCGGGGCCTCAACTTCCTCTCCTGTAGAATGGGGCCAATAACACTCAGCTCATAGTACCGCTGTGCAATAATGACTTTAAAATATGCAAAGGGCTTATAAGTTTGTCTTCGACCATGGATGTCCGCTTCTGTGTCTCTTACTCAAAGTGCTCAGGACAGATCATCCGATGAATCCAGTGAGTTTCCTTCCCTCATACACTACGTCCAAACCCATCAGCAATGTCCTTCTTCAGATGCACCCCCAAATGACGCTCTCAACAGCTTTCATGATTTCTCGCTCCGTGTGTGGTGTATGTTCGCTTGCACGAGTGTGCATGAGCATGTGGAGTCCAGAGGCCCGGGGAGGAACTCGGGTTCCTGGGGATGTGCCCTTGAGGAGTCCCTAGGGCCGCAGCCTACCTCCTCTTTCTCTCTTTGCCTTACCGCGTCATGGAAGGAGCAGCTTTTGCGGTGAGACATCGATCGGGCTTGCTTTGTCATGGCCCAGGACCCAGAGCCACCCAGAGGATTCAAACCTCTAAATCAGTTAGCAGAACGAGTCTTCCCTGTGTAGACACTGAGTGTCTCAGATATTTAGGTTCTCCCAGGAGTGGAAAGGTGAGTAACCGCCCCACCCCCGGGTTCCTACCCTCTGTAGGACTAGATGGACAGTCTCAGGGTATTTAGTGGGGCGGAGCTATAGGCCCAGTTCTCCGCCCCCAGTACCACTCTGGCCGCCAGGTGGCGCTGCAGCACATGGGGGGGTTGTTGCAGAGATGTGCCTCTAGCTGCAGATGTTCTGGTGACAGCTGGCACAGGATTCCCTTCCTTTCTCTGCTCCCTTAAGCAAGCAAAGTTAGCAATGTAGAATAACCTTTTTCTTCTTGAAGGCGGAAAAAGAAAGGTCAGGAGCTCTGGCGTGGCCACCCTGTCAGCAAGTGGCCGTGGGTGGGTTGCTTCCGCTCAATGGGCATCCAGGACTAGAGTAAAGGGCAAGGACCGCTTGGTGACTAACCGCTGCCTCTATGTAATGTTTAACCCAGGGCTGCAAGATTCCATGGGCTCCTGATGCATTGGCCTAGGGTGTGGGAAGTAGGGGGAATTCGAAGTCAATTGACATGGTAGGTGTTGTTATCTACATCAGCACGGCTGGCTTGCCGCCACTGCCATCTACTTTCTCCGGAGGGGAGGGCAAAGCTTTTTAGGTAAAAAAAAGGGGGGGTTTATTCCTGGCATAAGAGCCTGAGGAATGATAGCAACCCTAGAGGGGAAATGCTCTGGGTTCCGCAAGGTGTTGGGTTCTGCAGTGTGCTTTGGGAGGGTGCTGCGATAACGGTGCAGTTCTGGTTTCTGCCACTGGGTGGCGCAGGCCCTGAACTCTGTCCGGGGATGGCAGAACGGACCTAGTTGGGCCAAGATGAAGACTAGGGTGGGCGTTTCAAGTCTCATGCAGGCAAAGGTCCACCTTTCAGCAACTTTTCTCCTTGGATTTGAGTCTCACAGAACAGGCACAGAGGCCATGGGCTTGCCTAGGCCTCAGATGGACTAGAAGTGGGTTCAGGAGGGTGAGACATCACAGTGGATCTGTGGTCAAACCCAGGCCTTTGCTTTGATACTTGAAGCTGGCACTGCTCATCTTGCAAACCCTGGGAGGGGAACAGTAAGGAGGCAGGGGGCTCTCTGAGCAGGCCTACTGGAGGAGAGGGGTCTTTCTTCTCCCTGGGACTCCCTCTAGGGGGCCAAATTGTCTAGCTGTCTCTGGTACTTTGGCCTAACCTTTCCCACCTTCTCCAGGGTTTCTTTTGTGCTTGTGAGAAGAGGGAGGGGTGAGGTGGGGCCTGTAGGGGAGGCAGGACCTAGACAGGGGAAGATAGACCCGACGGCCTGCGGCTGCCTTTGGGGTTTGTCCCAGAGCACAGATCTTTACAGGGCTTACTGTCAGAACACCATCTCTGGGTTCCAAGACTTCAAGATCCGCTTACAGCGGGTCTCCAGCATGAGCCCTGGCAATTTCCCCACGCCCCTTATTGCTGGTTGCCCTCAGTCTCTCTGGAAGGTGAGTGATCCTGTCAGAAAGCAGTATCTTTATTAGCAGCAAAACCTATAACAGCTGCTATAACTCCCACTGGGAGGAATTTCCCCTTGCTAGCCATTCTCAGGGAACCCGAGTCCTGGGACTTCAAATCCTTTTGGTAAAAGCCAGAGCCTCCCCCAGTCCTCTGCTCAGAAATCCTAGGTCTCAGAGCTGTCAATCACTGTTTCCTTAATCCTTATACCCCGGGTGGAATTAGAAGAATAATCCCCCATCCCTCTTGGGTGCAGGTGATGGAAGCTGGGGCCTTCCACATGCTAGGAAAGCTACTGTAAGCTACAGCCTCAGGCCTTGTTTTTTGCTTTTAAATTACAAAATGCCTGAATATCTCCTGGCACTTGCTAACGTGCCCTTGTCTGGGATTCCTTTCCCTTGCCGCTCGCCCGCCCTTCCTCATAGAAATGGGAGGCTGGCTGGTGACCTGGGCTGCCAGTCTCAGGCATTGAATTTTTTGCATGTTGAGAGCAGTGTTGTATCATGGCCCTGGCAGCACAAGGAGTGATCTCTGGGGAAATGAGTCACCAGCCGCTCCCCTGCTGATGACTGTCCTCCCACACCCTGGGGACTGGACTCAGAGTGCAGGAGGGAGCCATGGCAAGGTGCTAACAATGCGAGGGCCAGCGCTTCAGAGGCAGACCTCCGTAACTAGGCCAGACAGGCCTGTTGTTTTCACACTTGGGGAGAAGAGAGAAATGCAAAGCAGCCTCTACCTTCCTGGCTCATCCAAGGCCTCGCTTTGAGGCTCCTCTGATTTCACCTCCTTGGACACAGGCTGCCCAGTTAGTTGCCCATAGTCAAATCCAAACAAAAACTTCTATTCATAGCATCCAGGAGCATGCAGCTCCATTAGGACTGGTGTTCTCTGAGGTGTTCATGGGAGGGTCGTGAGCCCTCTGGTTGCAGGGATGGGGTGCAGGTCAACCATACTCCAAAATAGTGTTGTGAAGTTGAATTTGATGTTGTTTCTCCAGTTTTTAATGGGGCGTCGGGAGAGAGAGAATGCATAGCTGTCTCGGGTTTGAGGGTGTTCCGCTTGCTCCAATGGTCTCTGCTAAGGCTGCAGAAATGGCAGAGAATGTGCTCTGTGACTCCCTCTCACTCTGAACTCCTCAGAGCCCCCCCCACAGGACCACACCTCCCTTCACTGATATAAATACTGCCAAGTGCCAACCTCATACTCCGTGTTTTAGACCTCCTACTGCCCCTAGAGTCATGTTTACAGACGAAGGTCTGGCCAAAAGAGGCTTTAATTTGTCACCTCCACACAAGCCAGAGTCATCTGGGAAGAGGGAATCTCAATTGAGAAATGCCGCCATCAGATTGGTCTATAGGCAAGCCCGTGGGGTCATTTTCTTGATTAGTGATTGATGTGGGAGGGCGCAGCCCCACTGAGGATGTTGTCACCCCTGAGCAAGCGGAGGAAGCCATGGGGAGGGGGGCAAGGCAATAGGTAGCATTATTCCATGACTTCTGCTTCAATTCCTGCCTCCGGGATCTGCCCTGATTTCCCTTCATGACAGACTGTGACAGGGACGTGTAAGCCAAATAAACACTTTGCTCCACAAGTTGGTTTAGGCCAGTGTTTTATCATAGCAACAGAGAACCAAACTAAGCCAAAAGCTAACAGACTGGCTCCAAGTCACAGTTTCCTGCTAACTGTGGTGTCATTCACCTGGGTGTCCTGGATATCTGGAACATCAAACATGATGGTGGGTAAATGTGTGTAAACTTTGAAGAGGAGGAGGGAGTAGGGGGTGGGGGCTGTCTAACTGTGGTGACTCACGGTCCACACCCTCCCAATTCATCATAGCCTTCAAAGCTGAACAGCCAGGGCAGGGCTGGGGTGTAGCTCAGTGATGGAGTGTATGTTTGATATATGCCAAGCCCTCAGTTTAATGCCAGCACAGAGAGAAAAGAAAAGGCCAGGACACCCAAGAACCGCTGTCCCCACCCTGTCTGCTTTCACTCTGAAGCTGTGTAAGCTGCTTGTCATTAAACCTTTCACCAAAGTATAAACCCTGCAACCCTGAGCGTAAACAGTGCAGGACTGTCTGTGGCCTAGAACGAAGGACAGACAGGCAACTAGGGACAGCTACATGGGGCCTTGGGATTTATTTCCTAAATTACTGCTAGAGAATCTCAGGTTGGTATTCTGGAGACAGACAGGAAACCTAAACATGCCCACTCTGGTTTGTCATAACAGCAGCAGATGAACAAGGGGACAATTCTGGGCCAAGTCTGGAAGAGGACATGGAATATTATTGTGTAGAAAACTCTAAAGCAACCTGTTTCCTGGACAATGTTTTGCTTAGGAGATTTCTGAAACATTCATGGTCTTTGACCACGGTATAGTGGCTCTAACAACTTAGAAAGATGGCTCAGTGGTTAAGGGCGCTTGCTGCTCTTGCAGAAGATCTGGATTTAGTCCATAGCACCCACATGGTGGTTTGAAACTGTAAGGCTAATCCCAGGGGACCTGACTCCATCTTCTGATCTCCACAGACACCAGCGTTTAAGTGTGCGCTTGCTTGCATGCAAACACTCATACACATAAAGTAAAAATGAAAAATTTACTTTTTTAAACAAGAAAATTTTAGAAGCCATTAAGAATAAACTCGAGAGACTGAGGCTATAGCTCAGTTGGTAGAGTGCCTGCCTACAGTGCAGGAAACCCTGGCTTCATTCCTAAGGGCTGTATGAGCTAGGCATGGTGGCTTGTAATCTCAGGATTCGGGAGGTAAAAGAAGATATGGAGTTCAGGGTCATCCTGGACTTCATAGTGAGTTTGAGGCTAGCCTGGGATCCATGAGATCCATCTCAAAGGTCCAGGAAAATCTTGAGACTTTTTCAAAGCCAAGTCCACAGTTTTCCCTTGCAGAACATCCTCCAGGATTTTGTTCTTCACAGGCTCCTATGAGGTCTGTTCTCCCTTGGGGGACTACATTGCCAGTGTGCTCATCCACAGCTCCATGGAACAATGGCTTGAGTGGGTTTGAGATGCAGAATACCAAAGGCAGGTACTTTTTAAACATCGGAAATGTATCCTTATGTTTCTGGAGCCTGAAAAGCCAGGCTTGAGGGACAAGCAGGTTTGGTGTCTGGTGAGGCTGTTCATTTCCAAGATGGTGGCTTGTTGTTGTGTTCTCTGGAGGGGACAAATGTGGTGTCCTCACGGAGCAGAGAGGATGGGACAACCTAGCCTCACTCCCTTAATCATTTATAAGAACCAGTTGTGTGGGGAGGGGCACTTCAGTCTATTTCCTTCAGCCACTGTGTTGAGATGAGCTGCAGGCCGAGTACCAAGGGCCATCCCCCTGTGCCGCCGCATTCTAGTATGGTATCCTCTATGTTGGAACTGGAGTCTCCAGACTCTCATTCTTCTGTGACACTTAAAAGACAATGCCATCAGAGAATGGAGGTACAAGGACACTTCATAGGCTGAGCTTGCTGGCTTGGAGTGGAAGAGGTGAAGAGAGGCCTTCCAGATGATCAAGGAATGTAGCTTTCCATTGGGTTTCTGGTTGCAGGCCCCAGGAATGTTCAAGGCAGCCTGGTTATGTCTTAGCCAGCTCATCACCCATCAAAGGTCTGTTTAATTTTGATCTTGCTATTGCTGTTACTTCTCTGGAGCCAAGAAACCCGTCATCCAAATAATGAAATGCCTCATTAAGCTTAAAAACAAAACCATGGAGACTTCAGAAATAAATAAGGTATGGAAAAACAGTAGAAACTGTAGGTCCTTGTAACGAATTCAGATCCTGCTCGAAGATGAAATTAATTTGAGCAAGAGAATGTAAAGCAAGGGGGTGTCAGGAGAAGAGCCGCCTAACACTGAGTGGATGTACTACTGCTCACATGCATTCTGTGTGGTGGCCCTGCTGTTCATTCTCTTGTTTTTAAACTGCTCTGACTCCACTCTCTGAGATCCCGCCCTTTAAGATGTGGGTAAATGTGTCTGATCAGTCGGAACGGAAGTGTTGTCTATGCCACCATAGAAGAGATTCGCAGAGAAAATGCAGAGGACGAACCTGGGAGAGGAGGAAGCTAGTTTTAGTCAAGGAACCATGCTTTAAGGGACCTTACGAGAATAATTGCTGGTATGTAAATGCCACATCGAGTTATACATGACTCACAGGTTCTTTGAAGGAGGCTGAGCAGAATTTCTTCCTCGAAATCTGTGGGTAGCAGCTCACATTCCATCACAACCAAGTGGTGGTTGCTCATCCTCTGAGGCAACATTCATCAGGTGTCTTCTCCATGCACCCCTTCTCCCGACAGGTGGTGAAGCATTGCTGTGAGCATCATGGTTCTTCCACAGCTGAGCAAAGTCAGGCCTCCCAAGCATTTTGCCCCAGTCACCCACTGGATACCAGGTCAACAAAGTGTATGTTTAAAAATAAGTCGTGTATGTGTCCATACATGTGTTTGTATGTGTGAATGTGGGGGTGCACATGCCATACTGTGTGTATGACGTCAGAAGACAGCCCGGGGTGCCAATCTTTACCTTCCATTCTGTTTAGGGCAGGGACTTTTGTTGTTTGCTGTTTGTGTAGATCAGGCTGGCTGGTCCATGAGCTTCTGGGAGCCTCGTGTCTCCACCTCCCATTTCCCCTTAAGGGCACTGGGATTGCAGGTGCATGTTTAAATGAGACAGGGAATATGAACTTAGGCCCTCAGGCCTGTACAGCAAGTGCTCTACCCACTGAGCAACCTCCCTAATTGTGTATGTGCTGTGTGCACTCTGTGTGTGTGTGTGTGTGTGTGTGTCTGTGTCTGTGTGTATGCGTGCATATGTGTCTGTGTGTTTATTAGATTCCCTAATTTTAACAAGCTCACGCTTACTTCCTCTTACAGATGATCTTGCATTTGGAGAATTGCTCTTAATAAAACTATGAAATGCTTTTCTCTCCAACTAACGATTGTCCTATATTATACAAGGGATTGAGGAGAAGAGTTGTGTGGTAGAATATTCAGTCCACGTTTGGGAATCAACTGTCCGGAGAGTATTCTTATTTCCAGCTTGTATTATGGTGTTTATTATACCCGAACAATGGCAGAGCCAGTGATGGATTGGTAAGCCCGTAGGGAGGCATTAACAAGTTGGCATTCCTAATTCATGTTGAAGTGTTGTTTTCATTTATCAGAGGGTTGTAGTGAAGGTGCTCAATTATGAATGCAATGCTTTGGGAGGGCAATATTTGTAATATTGCAGACAGGCAAAAGCAAACCAAAGAAAAGTGGTTAAGTGTCTAAGCACTGGCCTGTTTTCCCTTTGAATAACCATTGGTACAATGTTCAAGGGATTATGTAAATAAGTTGTATCCTTTTACAAGATTTTTTTAAATGGTAACTTGCCCTAACTAGTAACTATAATAAGGTCTAGGAATAGTTGGAAAGTGCTTCCAACCTTTTTTTTTTCAGTGTCAAGGATAAAACACAGGACCTTGCCCTTACAGAGCTCATGCTGTCCCCTGAGCTCGTTACAGTAACTGAAGAGACCCAGCTCCATGTGTTAGAAGGCAAATCAGGATCTAGCAGAGTTTTTAAAGTTATTTTTGATTATGTGTCTGTGTTTGGTATCAGGTTCATGGGTTCTAGATTTGCAGATGGTTATGAGCCATGCTATGTAGAATTCTGGGAATCAAACTGGATCCTCCACAAGCCCAGTACCTGCTCTTAACAGCTGAGCCATCTCTCCAGCCCCCAGGATCCAGGAGCTTTTAAAGCCACAAGTAAGGCATTCTCACCTTCTAATCTGTGCAAAAGCATAAAAACAAAACAAAGGAAGCAGGCTACACAAGAGCAGAGGCAGATACAAACTGGAAGGACAGGGACTTGGGAATGATGATTGGGCAGGCATTCTAAGTCACCTTCACCAGGAATCATGGGCCCACTGTCTACAGGGTCTGATTATCAAAAGTTCACCATGGGACCAGGATTTATCTCTAGGGCTTGAACTGGCTCTTTGGAGCCCATTCTCTTTGGAAGGATACCTTGCTCAGTCTAGATATAGGAGGAGGGAAGGTTTAGTTCTGCCTCAAAGTGATATGTCAGACTTCGTTGACTCCCCATGGGAAGCCTTACCCTTTCTGAGGAGTGGATGGGGGGAGGGGAGGGGAGGGAGCGAGAACTGGGATTCGTGTGTAAAATGAGAAAAGACTGCCTTAAAATAAAAAACAATAAAAAGTGCACCATGGAGAGACACAGGGAGGAAGCCCGACTGAACCAAGCACCCCACAGAGAGAAACAGCAGGCCATGGGTGCCAGCAGAGTTCAGGAGCCGCTCTTGGCTGTAGGGGGAGGGAAGAAGGCAGGATGCTGGATGCCTTGGGATTTGCAGCTTCTCAGGCATGCAGAAAGTGGAGTGCGAGTCCTGTGTGGTTTTTTCCTCCTGCTGGCTCTAGCTGGCCATGGCAGCTCTCAGCTGGGGGACAAGCCAGGGCCACTCCCTGGGATGCTCAGGTTTCAGTTTTGCCCTGACCTCAGAGGCAGTCTCTCCTGATAAAGTTACCAAATGTGAACACTGACAGATTCCTGGAGGAGGAGGGCGGAAGTGATGGCTGATCCCGAAGGCTGACTTTTACGTCTGGGACCTACTTTCTGGTAACAGCTCCCCTGAGCAGATGAAAGACACCTTGACTCCACAGCGCTCCATGCACCCAGGGACTTCACTACTGTTGATAGAGTTTTGCAAAACAGATGGAAAGGACCTTATAAAAGCCGCTTGCGTTTTTTATCCTTTGGGCTTCTGCTCTGTGACAACCTTGTTTCATAGCCCAGGCAGATCTTGAACTTGAGGTTTTCTTACCTCAGTCCCCCAAGACCTGAGATTACAGATATGTGCCACTCTGCCTGGTTTATCTCTTTGATTTTAAGGATGAAAAACATTAATATTCTTTCGTTGTCCTTTCATGTTAAAGAAACCTGTGTCATTGTGGGTGGGATTCTTGAGCCTTAGAAAATCACTTTACTAAGAGTATGTCTTGTGTTACGTTCAGCTAGAGCCCCACATTCAGCCATGACCTGATAAGCGCTATTGGCTTGCATCTTACATACGCTAGATTGGCTTCACCAAGGGAGGGGACTTGGGACTCTAGATCAAAGACCTCACAGAGACAATGGACATTTGCACAGAAGGAGCATGAGATGGGGATGTGATCCCAATGACTGTCTTGAAGAGGAGGTGTCTGAGTAGTTGGTGTGCCCAGGCTTGGGGTGGTCACAGCATAGTGCAGGGGAGAGAGAAGGATAGCATAATGGAAAGGTAGCCAGCCCTCGCTGCACAGGGAAACACCACAGAGCTCAGGCACACAGGACACCTAGGTAGCTAGGCAGAGCCAGCACACCTCAGCGTAGGGGAGGAAGGCAACGGAGTTTACCTGCTGGCCTTTGCTGGCCTTTCCTGGCCTTGGCTCTTACTGTAGGGCACCCATTCGCACATAGCTCTACTTGTTATGGCCTGGCCTCTCAAGGAGTTGCTAGTGAGGTGAGACCCAGGCCCATACTTCACTCACTCAGTCCCCGGGGAGGGGGGCACATGAAAACATACAGGTCCCAGCTGTCTTGCTTTGTTTTTGCTGGTGGATTGTCTGAGACTAGGTGATTTATCATTTCTGGACACTGAGAAGTCCAAGAGCCTGGTGAGGACCCTCACATTCATCACCCCATGGTAGAAGGCAGGAGGAACAGGACACGACAAGACAGAAGAGAGAAGAAGGGCCTGCACCCTATGGCATTCATTCATACATACATTCATTCATTCAGGAAGACAGAGCCTTTGCAACTTAATCACCACTTTCTATGCCACTGAATTGGAGGCAAAATTGCCAACACTTGAACTCTGTGGGGGGACACCCAAGCCATAGGGACAGTGGTCATCCAGAAGTGATGGTTACAGTGGCCAATGCTGAAGACTTGGTTCCATGATAAGCTAGGAGTCCCTTAGCTTATCATGGAACCATTGTTCCCTTGCTATTAGTCCCTTGCTATTCCATCACAGCCCCAACCCCAGCAGACCTCCAAATGACATTTACCACATACTCATTTCTCTACATCATTACTTTTGGCAGCATGGAACTATAAAATGGGAAGTCCCAGAGAAATTGAAGGGGAGGAGGTTCAAAAGTCCTCCCTCTACAAAGACCCCAACCTACTTCTCTTCAATATTTAAATACTTGTTCTGTGATTCCGTGAAAGTGACTTAACCCTCTGAGCAATTGTGGCAATTTCATGAGACCCAGTGTATTATATATAACATAGGATTCAGTGAAATCGCCATAGCAACATAGCAGCCACACTTTCGCACTCCAAAGTACTGAACAAGGTTAGGGCTGTTCCACCTCCCTCCATGCCTCCTGCACCACTGCTCACTGGTTCTCTCCAGTGACTCTGCCTCCTTTCTTTGACCCTCTTAAGCTCAGCTCCAGCTGTGTTTCCAGTAACCACCCCGCCAGTTCTAGACCCTAAATTCAAGCCTAATTCTGTCCTGCCCGGCTCTTTGGAGTCTCCTAGCCCTTGAACAGCCTGTTCTTGGCACCATATTAAGGGGAGTAATCTTAACTACAATGGCTTGCCAGGACAGTAATTCTACAATAGGATCTTTCCCTTGCCACACCGAACAATTCTCCACAAGTACCAGCGTGCCTGAAAGGAGAAGGGCGTGCCTGGGAAGAGCTGAGATTCTGCTATGTTGACATGAAAAGAAAACAGGTGGGCTTCTCCATGGCTTCTGGGGATGCCCTCTCCCACACAGGCTCTCTTTCACCTCATAGTGACCTCCCTACCTCACAGCGAGGTAGGAAGAACGCCTCCATTTTTAGAGTACAAGCAGAGATTCAAAAAGCCCAGCAAGTTGCTCCGGGCTAATTTTATGGCCAGTGTGAGGCCCGCCAAAACTGGGAACTGTGTCTTCTGGTTCCAAGTTATTTTCTGTCACACTTCTGCCCTTGGTTCTGGCGTGTTCCCCTTCACTTTGTTCTTGCTTTTCACAGGAATCTACATGCCTGTGCTCTTGGCAATGCTGTTTACTTAACTCACCAAGAAAGTCACATAACCCTGAAGCCTTGAGTGACCTATCCAGTCCACTTCCTACCTTGAGGTGAGAGGAGGCCAAACTGACCTTCCTCACTGACCAGACTAGCCTTTGTGAGCTGTGGGCTGCCCCAGGGTCGGGAAAGAAAGGTACACACTTTCTCTTCAACTGGGCTCTCTTTGTCTAGGGACATCTCCAATGCCTGAGGCACAAGGGCCTTAGTGACTGTAGGTTGTTCCCTTGAGGATGTTATATGACTGGTTTTGAACAGCGAGATGGGCATGGAGTAAGCAGAGGCAAGGGAGTCAATAAGGGGGTGGTTAAGCAGAGTTCCAGAAGGGAAGGTGGATGGTGATTTGGAGTTAATGGAGAGGGCCTGGTCCTGTGTGAGAGTCCATGGAAACTGTGGACCAAGCAGTCTGGGGAAATGAACCCCACGGTTACAGATGATGGGACTGCAGCCAGAGGAAGGAGCTATTGCTCTTCAGATGAGGCAATGAGTAATTCCCCCTCAGCAAAACAGAAGACGACGTCAGCTAAGTCAAAACTACTCAGCCTCCCCAGGGCTGTGGATTTTGAAGCTGATCGGGACCCATCTGAAGCTACCAACCCTGAGCAGTGTGGCAGTGTGGGTATCCATCAAGTGGTCCAAAGCTGTCCACAATTCCACATCGCCAGCCCTCCCATCTCACATGGACATTCCCACCTCAGACAGAGACCTCGCCTGTGCCTGTCTTCTCAGGGAAAGTCGTTTTGTCTATGCTACCCTCACCTTGTGGCCCAACTAGAAACATACCCAGCATGACCCATAAACATCAATGAGAAACTTTCATTTTTATCAGCTGCCACTTAGATTTCAGGGTGCATTTTACGTCTCATTTCACTCGACATCTGAGAAAATTGTTGCGTGCCAGCTGAGCTGTAAGATGAACTTGCCTGTGATAATGGGACATAGCTTAGCAAAGATAACAAGGTCAGCTGCTCGGTCCTCCGTGTTCTGCATGCTGTATCCACCCAGATGGTTCGGGATCACCGCTTTGTTTTCCCAAGGACTATCAGATTGTCACCAGGGATCAAACCCATGTTTTGTGACAGTTAATCAACAAGGAAAATGAGTAGAGGCATATGGTATGAATGGATTCAAAGAAGGTGATATTTGTGATGAATCCCAGACAGACAACTTTGTGTTGAACCATCAGTCTAATTTCAATACTTTTATCTCTTCCCAGTTGGGCCTAGAATTTTTCTTTATCTGTGTGGTGGGGAAGATTTGTGTATAGAAAATGTTTAAGATCTCCAGCTTGTGCCAATTAGAATGAGTTAGATATACTACAGTAACAAATGTCCCCAAATCTTAGAACTTTGGTTTAGTTCACATCAGATCTTCTGTAGGTTCAGAAAGCTCTTCAGGGCAACTTTCCTTGTTCATTGACTCAGTATTATAATGGTTCATAACTCTGTATCAGGATGTACCTCCATAAATGCCATAGCAGAAGATCAATTAAGTACTTCCCTCTAGAAATGACATGTGACATATTTAACTTGCCAAAGTAAGCCCTGTGACCACACTGAACTCTAAGTTCCTTTAAAACAAAGTACCACTGAACTTACACTTCTGACAACACGATTTCTGGTTTTGCATGACTCTGAGTCAACTGGACAGCTCTTTCTCTCGTTTTTTCCTGGGCTCACTTAAGCAGCTGTATTTGGCAAAGGATTGGTGGTTTGTTGGCCTGAAAAGGCAATAGTGCCTTTATTCACATGTGTAGTCATTGCCATTGACTGTTGCCTGGGTACCTTGGTGGTTTCCTATCCTCTAGCAGGCACCGTTCACCTCCTTACCCAAAGGTCCCAGGAAAGTGTTCCAAAAGGACAAAAGCTGTAGAATTTCTTAGGCCCAGGCTCCAGAATTTATACAGCACTGCCATGTTTAATTGGTCAAGGCTGGTAACAAATCTAGCCCAAGTTCAAGGTTTGGGGAAACTTTTTCCTGGTATAGTTCCACATATCATAGCCATGTTTTCACCTGTTACATCAGACATGTACACAACTAACTCCTGCTACTTATGCTCTACAAAGTTGAACTCTGAAATAATACCGAGTCATTGCTTCTGAAGAAATAGTGTGTGTTCCTACAAGCCTCTGGCACAAAACCACCATAAACTAATCAGCTCTCCAACCTTGTTTTACATCTATTTAAGGCTATCTTATCTGGTACGTATCATCGATTCCTAAACATTGAACTCACAGCCAACGCAAAGCCCACAGTGTGTTCAGCCCACTGCAGTCTCACCGCATTAGAGCGTGGCTACATGCATTTCCTCAAAAGGAACATTTATGAGGCAAGGAGCAGCAACAATAAACGTTATGTCACTATTCTTGTTAACAATGTAAGAGCCTAGACAAGATGGCAAAATGTCGCTTTGTTGTATACATAGTTGTGTCTGCAGCTCAAATTGTTTACCATTCTACAATCCCCCAAATGATTACAAAGACAACAAGAGTCCTAAGTATTGATTTTGAGATTATACATTAATTTTTACAAGGAGATAACTCCCCAAATACAGAGCCCATAAATAACAAGAATAAATTGTACAGGGAAAACAGATAATGGTGAGAATGGTGAGAATTATGACATATTTTCTTTATTTGGTTACCTAGTCATCTTTGGTTGAAAGTAGACATTTTATATAACGAGTCAATTCTGAAAGTCCTATAATCTAATTCTTCACCCACCTTGAGTTTGCTCTGATGTTTGCTATTATTTAGTCACTGTTCTGAGCCAGGATATCATCCCCCCCTTCCCCCCGTCTCTCTC